AAGTAATGTTATTAAGCTTACACATACAAGAATTAGTACAATGAAGTTATTAGGTATTTAATAATAAACAGTGGTAGAAAGCATGGGGAAAATGTGTCAACATTTACCCTGTAAACTTTCATCAATTAAATGTTGATTATTGATGACCAGAAAGAGACAGAATTGAAGATGATTGTTGAAATAAATAGGTTTGATTTAAATAACATTAAAAATAATGAATAATAATGAAGTAAATCAATACAGCTCGATCTTATTAACGTTAAAAAAGCTATTAGGACCTGAAAGTTATTAAAATAATGTAATGTAATCTATCTTAAACAAACAAGCATTATACCATTTAAATATAATTTAATTGTTTATTTTCTCTGTCTATGAGCATGTGTACAGAAAATAAGTTGAAAAAACCGTTCCTTTGTGGTTGGACACACATTTGTATTACTTGATAGAAGCATATTTTACCCTATATTTTTACTTATGTACTATTGAATGTCGATGTTTCATCCCCAATGGACAATTTTGCAGTCAGCGCAGAAAAACAGGGATCCTTCTAGAAAACAAAGTCTGAGCAAACCCCGGGATCATACTGTTATAAACGTTGTATTAGCATTTTTATAGCAAAAGCCTTCTTGTCCCTTATTGGTTTACCTAGGGGAAGGACGATAAACCACCTCCCTGAATCTATGTTGCAACCCTTCTCCGCATACGTTTCCCAACACATTTTACGTCCACTTTTCTGTACATGTATTCTGTACATGTGTCCATGGCTGCATTACATTGACCAACACCCGACCTTGTTAGTTTTCTAGAACATGAGAGGGGCGAGTTTTTACTTTTGCCCACTTACCTATCGTAACTTCGTACCCCATTAACTTCAGAGAATGTGAAGAGTAGTTTACCTGAACCTACTAAAGGTGACCTTTTCTTTTTACCTTGACATTCTTAATTCCACCGTTTATGAGGCCTTGTTTCACACATTCACCCACACACACAGAGGTCTGTATACAGCTTGGCAGCAGAGCCCACTACTCTCCTCCACATGAAGTTACACACACATTCTGATAGAAACACTGTTCTGACATTACACTGTAATATTAGTATTATACAGTATTACTAATATACTGAATACTTATTATTCCCTGTTATTTTCTAATACAGAGCATTTCTTCAAGCAAAGTTCTACTCCCACTAACAGCACATTGTCGGCTGAACAACAATCATACGGTATATGGAGTTGAAACAGAATGCTTTGTGTTTTCCAGCAGATAGTAGCCTTTGAATGGCCCTCCTTAGAAGGAGCAGCTGTACACCATGCTGGGGCCACTTGGTGGGAAAGAGACACCGGATGAGACTTGACGGGTAAAAGCATTCTGGTCCATCGGGAGGGGGGGGGGGGGGGGGGGGGGGGTCTGCAGGGATGTACCTCTCTGATGTGGAGAAGTGGCCCTTGAAAAAACAGGCTGTGTATGGTATTGATTGGCCGTCATTCTCTACCTCCTGCCGGCCTTTGTTACTGGGAACATTACAGGGCCGGGAGCGGGAAGGGATAAATGCAGAGGAATCAGAGATCAGCTCCTTAAACCTTCAAACACTGCAACACCTCCGACAAAATGCGGGCTTTTCACAGCCGCTGCCACAGGAAGTAACAGGTGCAGTAATAGGGTTGGTATTTCCTCACGGGGAATGAGTTTTTCACAGCGAGTGTCTGCTGAGCAGTTACACTGAGCTGCAGCTGATTCATATTATTCTTCCCAACGGTACTTTCCTTTTCAATGAACAGAGAGATCCTACACTAAGCCCCAAGATCTACCACCAGGGATCAGCAGCAGGCTGTATGTGCACGTCAGAATACACAATTAGAATACCATCTATTTAATCATATAAAACTCGTATTAAATATGAATAAGTTATTATTCTGAGTTTGTTACGTGTTCGTTCCTCCCCCTTACTTTGGTTTTCCCGGTCAAATTTGATCAGTCTGTTGTAACTGCTAACTGCATTAACACACATAACATTAATCACCACCACATTTTATTTAACACCACTTTAAGCTGAAAGAATGTCCCAGACTACTGGTTTGAATAGACAAAGAATAGACACTGAGAATGTTTTCAAAAATGAACATGGATGTCGATTTGTGTGTTCTCTCTGATGGATGAACATAATCTGGGTTACTCTGGGTTCATTTCTTATGGCGGTCATTTTCTACCCGGAACACCATAGGTGTAACAAAGTTGACTAAACCTAAAAATGCAATGAAAGCGGTGATCAGCAGTTTAATATGTTGAAAAGCCTACTGTGTAGGATATCATAAGGTCTTGAAGCAATCAAATGTAAAACACAGTATTTCTGGTTAAGGAAAGTAGTGAATCATTCAGATTTGAGCCGAACACAACAGGAAGGTTCAATGGTTAAGGAGGTGCATTGAATACCCTAGGACTGAAAAATATATTAGTACATAAACAATCATTGGCTTACTTTCTTACATGCAGTGTAGCTTCCTAAAGTGTGTTTGAAATGTGCTCCGTTGTGTTTTTGATCATTTGTGGACAACATGGAGCTGTCCGGCACAGAGGAAGGAGATATCAGGATATCAGTTATTCTCAGACTAAAGAAAAACACTTTGCTAACCAAGTGTTGCGGCATTGTTATTAAAATAACTGTAGTCAATTAAAACATGTGTGGAGGAGGGGAACATGCTGTTTATTTCATAGGCGAAGAAGATCAGTGAAATATGTAGAACTGGGAAATAATGTTATCCTGCAATGCCCGGGTGTCCACATGTGTAGAAGAACACCTGCCTATACATGATGTCCTAAACTACACCATGTTCTGAACAGTGAATATACATTGTTACCATCAAATCGCAGAAACAGGGTCCCACAATTTAATAAAGTGAGACTGAAGCACTCCTTTATGCACCAGTCAATCCTCACAGTAAATACAGAGCTCAATCCCAGATGTAATGTACGTTAGAGGGTCTTTGAGCAGGTTCCTCTCAGTGATTGTGAGGTTATGTTAAATGTTTCTATTCCTTTCATCATGTCCTAATATGTGTCCTTGTATGATGTTTCAAATGTAGCTGCTGTGATGCAGGTAACATTTCAGACTTGATCTGACAATAAATTATTATCGTATGCTATCTGGAAGTGTAACATTATTTTATGTAAACATGATTTTTGGGGTGTCAAATGTACTGCTGTGTGTGTATTTTGCTTTATTCTTCAGAGTAACAACCACTATTCCATTAAACACAAACAATATTTCACCACCACATGAGACATGGTTTTCTGCAGTGCTCGGTTTTCCTCCACCTGTGCCCCCGCCTGCCTGTGCGCGCACCCGCTGCATGCGTCCGCGGCCGCGCGCGTCGCTCCTCGTGAATCCTAATCGCGTGCAGCGCCGCAGAGCTGAATGCCTCGATGTGTCCCGGTGTGTCCCGGTGCCTCTCCACCAGCAGGACCTCTGCGGGCCGTCACAGAGGGAGGCACCGCCGTCTGACCGGGAGCGCACCCCCCTCACGCCCTGAATATTATTTATAGATCACTTTTTATTATTATCAGCGTTTCATTCCTGTGAGTAGGTCAGTAGTGTCCCAACCACCTGGTTGGGTTGCGCTCCTCTTCCTCTGCTGTCCACTTTTAGTTCTCATCAGTCAGGACAGACATTCTCTGTGCGTCAAAGCTGCGCGCGGTTCAGAGTTCCCCGCCCCTTTTTATGTGCTGTAAGTGTGTTTTATTTACCTCCCAATAACACACTTCCCACACTCACTCTTTTCCCGGAAAGATTTCTACTTTCCACAATTCGTGCTGGGTGTGTGGGATGGCGATGGGACTAACCCTAAATCAAGCTCTGGAAAGTTATCCAGAACACAACCGGAAGTCCTGTTGTTGTTTATACAAAATAAAAGCACTGATAAAACAACTACAAGGACATCTGAATATGCACGAGCTCCCGGAATAATCATATGTTTGAATCACTTGGCGCTTCAATGAGTACCAATATAATGGCAAAAACATTCTGGGCACTTTCATTTTTTAGTGTCTCATAAGGCGCTTTCACACCGGAGTACTTTACCCAGTATAGTTCCGATAGTTCTTGAAATGTTGCATTCACACCAAAAAAATCCGGAACTAGAACATAGTTCATGAGAACCTTTTCATCCCCTTTTTAGTCCCTGCTAGAGAGCAGGTACTTTCATGGGAGAAAAAGGTTCCCATTTCTGATTGGCTGGGCGAATTGCAAACCACGCCCCGTAAAACTCTGAAAATATTGTGAAGCCGCCATTGTATTTGCTGGCATTAGCATTATTAGCATTAGCATTAGCCCAGCGCACAAACGCAGAGAGACTAACTTATGGCAACACAAAATAAAACATGGGAGCGATGGAGATGAGGAGGTGTCGGCGTTCTGGCGATTTACTCGGAAGGCTTCAGTAGAAGCTGCTGGGAGTCCCAGCAGCTTCTACTGAAGCCAGTCCCCAACTCCGGGGACTTCCGGCCGGGGACTCCGGGTGGCAGTATACGCCGTGAAGTTGTTTGCGGCCTGCCAGTAAACCCAAAGCAGAAGAAGAAGAAGAAGTGATGTCAGCGGCTTCATTTGCCTAATCCTCCCTCAGGGACTTATTCCGGTGTGAACGCGATCTGCTCTTTAGTTCATCAGAACTAAATGCAATGTAATGTAATGTAATGTAACTAAAGAGTTCTGATGAACTAAGTACGGCAAAGTACTTGGTGTGAATATGCCTATATATAGCAAGTTTTATGTTTTCTGGTTTTATGTCCACATTTTATCTTCACACTTTGTATAAATTGTAATCCTGATCAGGGAAATGCAAGCCAACCTAAGTCAACAAACTAACGCTTTTATTTTGACAGTCCAAACAGGAAGTGCTGGTGTTACTCCGCGCAGCTTCCCGCAGGTCCCTCTCAGTGTAGTAGTGTATATCGGAGGCTCGCCACCTGGCTGCGAGTTTGGAGTTGTGAGGCGTCTTGTAGGTGTGATCCACAGCTGCCCCCCCCCTTCCCTCTCTTTAATCTGCGCTTTCTTCTCCTCTCTTCGCACACAGAGGTTTCCTGACTCGGTCATGTGTGACTCCCCCCGGTGAGGACGGGATGGCCACTTTGTGAATCGGCGCCAGATGGATGGATGGACGTGTCCGTAGCGCGCTCTGGAATACTGCTGTGAACTGAACAGGCTCTTTCTCTGGAGTTCACATTTTTTCTCACCATATCTGGAATTGTTACATTTAGTGGTGTGATCGTCCACATTCCCTCCCCTGGCTGTGATCACCTGCTATGTGTGTGGAGTGGAAAATACCTGGAGGAAGGCGCAGCGCGGGATCCAGTGAGAGAGAGCAGGACATCTGCAACTGATACAGTCCGTCTCCTGTTTGTATTTCTTTCTAACCTGTGTGTAATGTACGTGGAATGAAGACAGAGGATGGATATCATTTGGGAAATATTGATCATTCTTCAAGCCAATGTGATTGTCTGCATATCAGGTGAGTTATGGGCGTCATGCTGGGCAGGTGCCTCGCTTAAATGCATATATTGTCTTTCACTCTTTTCCTGAAATCTGATATGATTGAGTGGGCTTTTGCTCGTGGGGCAAAACAATCACAATGAATGCCTGTCAGGACGCAGAATGTACCCACAGAGTGCCTGCCGTTTTGTTTTAGTATTCAGTTTAAAGATCTGTTCCTCTCTGTTCCTCTCTGTCTGTTCCTCTCTCTCTCTCTCTCTCTCTCTCTCTCTCTCTCTCTCTCTCTCTCTCTCTCTCTCTCTCTCTCTCTCTCTCTCTCGCCGTGTGTGTGTGTGTGTGTATATGTTTGTGTATCCTTCAGGCTTCTGACGCACGCAGAACATGGGTGGGCTTTTAACGCGAACCCGAATGAACAGGATGGTTTCAGTTAATGCGTTTTTGCTCCACGGACATGTCGCGTATTTCTAAGACTCTCTTCTCCTCTCCTCTCCTCTCCTCTCCTCTCCTCTCCTCTCCTCTCCGTCGGTGTGAAGTGTCTGGGGTGCTGAAACAATTCAGTCAGAGTTGTTATCAAACAGAGCAGTAGTGCGCACGGTGAGCGGCACGGTGCGGAGCTGACGCTCTTATAGCGGCTCGGTGTGCGCTGCGCAGGCAGAATGTTCTACTGCTTCAGCGGATACGTGACCTTACAACAGACTGATATTCCACCGTGATTCAGTTAGTGTGTTACACTACTTTTTCATCATCAGAGTCTATTTAATTCTAATTCAGTGACATTACATTACATTGCATTTAGCTGACGCTTTTATCCAAAGCGACTTACAATAAGTGCATTCGACCAAGAAGATACAAACTTGAAGAAAACAGAATCATATAAGTACATCAGGTTTCATAGAGCCAAAACATTTCAAGTGCTACTCAACTGGCTTTAGATAAGCCAGTCCTTTATTAGTATATAAGTGCTTAGTTAGTAATTCTATCGATGAGTTTTCAGTCTGCGCCGGAAGTGCAGTGACAATGTGGCAAAAACCACAATTGCACCTATTTTGATGTGCGCACAAAAGTTGTACACATAATATCGAATAATAAAGGCAGTAGATGTATCCTGACTTTGACTTACAGTACAGACACAGGATAAGATATACATGTGGGTAACGGTAAGAGTATTTGAGTTTATATTACGATGAATACAGCTATAAAGGCGAATAGAGACTATCACAAACTATATGTTTTCGCATCCCTGGTTTCAAGAGACTCGCATTCACTAACTGATACTGGTGCGTATACCTGTATTTACGCAATACGCACGCCATGCTGTCCACTCTCCTCAGTACCTTGGCCCCTGTCTCATGGAGGTAAAGGGCTTTATGTGACGATCACCCTGCTTCAGCTGCCCAGCCCCACCCAACTGTTTAGGTTGTTTTGTCCTAACAATGGCTTGTATGGAGGTCAGCCAACCAGGAACAAAGATTCAGTTTCAAGTGAGAGCATTATTGGAGTAAATTGGTGAAGAGTTATGAGGTTGCATTGACTACTTCTATAGGCAATAGTGTGTATATTATTAGTTCTTTCTCAAACTAACCTGATCTTAACACTTACAGTAGGTATTGGTTTAAGGCAATACAAAAAGTGTGTATATTATTTGTGTGTGTGTGTCTCTGTGTGTGTGTGTGTCTCTCTGTGTGTGTGTGTGTCTCTCTGTGTGTGTGTGTGTGTGTGTGTGCGTGTGCGTGTGCGTGTGCGTGTGTGTGTGTGTGTGTGTGTGTGTGTGTGTGTGTGTGTGTGTGTGTGTGTAAATCACCATTAGTACAGTTCACCAGATGTATTCTGGTATTTTCTGTTGAATGTTCACCAGCGCAGGGATGGCCTCAATGTTCTGGAATAGAGCTTGTGCCCATCAGGTTCATTCCCTGGTATCTCTGTGATAAAGGTGAAGAGCCCCTCCCTCAATAGCCGCTTTCAAACCAAGTACTTTGCCGTACTTAGTTCCCAGCACTTAGTTCCCAGCACTTAGTACCCCCATGGAACTAAGAGCAGATTCACACCGGAATAAGTCCCTGAGGGAAGATTACGCAAATGAAGCCGCTGACGTCACTTCTTCTTCTTCTGCTTTGGGTTTACTGGCAGGCTGCAAACCACTTCACGGTGTATACTGCCACCCAAAGTCCCCGGCCGGAAGTCCCCGGAGTTGGGGACTGGCTTCAGTAGAAGCTGCTGGGACTCCCAGCTGCTTCTACTGAAGCCTTCCGAGTAAATCGCCAGAACGCCGACACCTCCTCATCTCCACCGCTCCCATGTTTTCTTTTGTGTTGCCATAAGTTATTCTCTCTCCGTTGGTGCGCGGGGCTAATGCTAATGCTAATAATGCTAATGCCAGCAAATACAATGGAGGCTTCACAAAACTTTTCAGAGTTTTATGGGGCGTGGTTTGCAATTCGCCCAGCCAATCAGAAATTGGTACTTTTTTCTCCCCAGGATAGTCCCACCTCTTTAGCAGGCACTAAAAATGGAAAAGTACGAAAACGAGAAAAGTACGGGTAAAAGTACTCCGGTGTGAAAGCGCCTAATACTGCCACTGAGGCCCCAATTCAGACCCCTCAGCTCCGTGGCCAGCAGTGTGAATGTGTGTAGCTGAGCGGATGTGATCAGTGTGTTCTTGCAAACCAGAGGCTTCCTCTCAGGGAAATCTCTGAATACATAAAGGTTAAAAAAAGAAAATCCATGTAGACCTCACTACCTTCAAATGTACACAAAAGGTGTGAAGTGGATTTTCTAAATCTGTTCAGGCATTAGTCTTAACATTTGACAGTAAGCCTGCATTACTGGAGCTGTGTGGTTTAACAATGAGGCCGGGGAGGTCTAATGGAAATTAATTGCATTATGGGAAGAGTGGTTCCACTTTTCTTTTTATTGACTCAAATTAAGACTTAAAACAGAATTACAACTTTTGTGGCATCAAAATGTCAGATTCCAGTGTTGAGTAAATGTTTACCTAATATGTTATTACTACGTTCTAGTTCTTTATGACAGTTTATTTCAATAGATTTGCTATTTCCTTTTCATCCAGATATATTCTGCTACTCTGTATGCTCACACACTGGCATGTTTGCTAACCTTGTGTGATATTTGTACTTGTTGTTTGAGTCAGATTTTTACAGAGAAGGTCTAGTGATGCTTGGGATTTTCAGCATTTTTCTACAAAATGGAATGTTATTAATTTATCAAGCGATGCTGACATATATCCAAACCAGAATCAGCTTTATTGGCAGAATATGTGTACACTTACAGCCTTCCAGATTGTCCTGACCGTACCTGAGGGCCAGCTGTCCCCCCCCCCACTGTCTGCTGACTCATCACCCTTCCGGATCAAGCTGATGATTTGTGTAATCTACAAACTTCAGTGTGTTCACAAACATTCTGAAACACACACAGCATTTCAAAGTCAGTCTAACAAATCTTCCCTCAGTAAGGAGGAGACCCTGCTGCGAGGTGATGGTGTGATGGGACAATCGTTAAAATAAGTGATAATGTGCATACAACGGACAGTAATATCTGCCATCTTAAATAAACATCCACTGTTAAGACAGAGTAATTGCAATGTATTGAAAACATAGCCCTACTTGCGCAGTAGCCTAATTCTCTTGCTGGTAGCTATATTTATTGGCTTAGGTTTTTTTCATCATGCTGGTTCATTTAGTACTGAATCTATTTAACGGGGGAAAATGACTCCTCTGTTTTCTGTGACTTCTGCCGTGCTGTATCAGCAGCCATGGTTGGCATCTATAAACCAGCAACACTGTTACATTTGACCAGCTCCCGAATATCTCTTGTGATCTTTTTATTTTCTGGCATTTTAGCTGGCTGTGCTGTGTGAGACATTTCTAATGAATTCACAAACCTTAACATTACCTACCTGCATGATGTTTTCTGAACTGATGCTGTCATTCAGCGTTTGGCGAATATTTCGACGACCTCTTTGTCTTTTGTATGCACCCTTTATGCCAAGGCAAATTCCTGGTATGTGTAAACCTACTTGGTAACAAAACTGATTCAGATTTGCCATTTCTTCATCTGCTTAATAAACTCTTAAGGCTCTTTAAAGTCCTCCTTGCTAGTCCTACATGTTTGTCACATTAGGCACTCTCTTGAGGGTTTAAATGACTTTTAGATTTACTAGGAGATAGTGTTTACTATAAGGGGGTAATTCTTTGATAATGTCAGAATTCTAAGATTTGTCTGAAAACCTTGTCACTAGGTAAAACTCTTTATGAATACAGGCTTATGAGTTTAACAGCTGGATCTACTGATTGTAGTTGTTTGTGTAGAGGTAGACAAATCAGTGGGGAGACAACACATCCCTGGGGGACGCCAGTGCTGATGGTGCTTGATGTGTTTTTTACCCCAGACTTACAATGCTGCTTCCGGTCTGTTGGAAGCTAGGGATCCACTGACCCGTGGTGTAAAGTATTCTCTCTCAATTTTCGGCTTTTCTATGATGTCATGTAGGCCAACAGCAGTCTCCTAAAGAGTCAGGGCCGCAGATGTCAGGGAGACAGGCTTTAGTTCCTGAATCCTTTGATCTTGTGGACAGGTACGATGTCTGTTTTAGGAGTAGCACAGCGTAATTAGCTTTTATTTTCCACTCTGATCTTCTTTGTCAGTGCAATTCTGGCCTGGTTTACAGGAATTATTGTATAGAACTCATTCTTGGCATAATGTAGTTGCCTGAGTTGTGGTTTATGCAAAGAGTTACACGCACATCTTGTGTTGTTGAAATGTTGAAAGGAAATGCTTTTATTTTGAAGTGCAAGGAAGTATCCTGCTCTGTGTTTTTCCGATTAGTTGATGTATTAAATGAAACGAGATGTTGAGTGCATGTTTCCCCGTCTACTACCGTTCTTGTTGTAAACTGCTGCAATAATAAACAGTAAAATGTTCAGTTTGGACCCGCTTTGTTCTTTATTGGAAGCTTCCACGACACAACATGTGTGTTGTCACAGTGTCACAGAGTTGTAGGTC